AACTAAAGAGAAAATATGAAGTAATTGACTGTAATAATATATTTAACACCGGATGTACAATGTAAGTGCAAACTTATTACTTCACATACAGTCTTTTTGTAAATCAAGTCTTCAAAATGTTTTCAATGGTGCGCGGACCTCTCCTGCCACACCCGCTGCTCTCCTCAGCAGTGTATTTCGTCGGTCTGCCTGTTCTGTTCCCCTCTCTGGCTCTGGTGAATTCTCTCACCCTCCCGCACTTCTGATTGTACCCAATGCTTGTATAAATAAATAAATAAATTTAAAAAAAAAAGAATCTCCATGATCTTTCAAAAAATATGTTTTCAAAATCTGTTCTGTATCATATATGTGTAGAAAATCCTGGTTTTCAGAAGCAACCTTTCAAATGCTCAGAATCACATATAATTGGTGGTTCTTGTATTAAACATTTCAGGTCATAATAATCAACTGCGGAAATACATTTACATATATGTAAACAAAAATGTTGATATGTCATCTATATTGAATATCGTTGGTCCTTATATCAGGTGACTGAGAGAAAAACAGGAAAATATGAATGAAAGTATCTATCAGTATAAATATGTGAAGGAACAGTAATGTCCCTCATCATGTCAATATACACACTATTCGGTGACAATCTATGGACTATCACCACAAGTTCCTTATGGTGATGCTATATGGACGCTATTACATAACTTTTATATGGACGCTATTACATAACTTTTATCTCATTCAGAAACATGTGACATGAATGGGTTTTGAACAGATGGCAATATGGAAGATACTGTTAATGTTAGACAAATCGCTACATAGAAACCTGATGATCCTACACGATTCCTACATGAGTGAAACAGGGAAATCACAAAGGAAGCCTGGGAGGTAACACAAGGCCATCTCTAATATCGGTGCATGTACTTCCCTCAAAATAATCAGCTCTTCAAGGCTCAGTGTCTTCCTATTCCCTGGGATGCGTTAGGACCTGCCTCGCACCACTAACGCAGATAGATAAAGTTATGTGACGTGAAGTGGGAACTGACGTTCACATTGTCCTTCTCTCATGCCCACTCTCTACTGCCACCTTTTCATTTTGTAGTGAAGATATTTGTTTTAGGATTTGGCTTTGCTGAAGTATGACTGGGCAAGTTCTGAGTGAAAAAATGCGCCTCAGGATTGTTCGGCAATTTTTATGTAGTGAAATGATCGTGTATTGCTACACACACATGAACACTCACGCTCACCCCATGGGCTACTTACTCTTTGTTTACTATTTTCCCATAGTGGTGACAAGAGCTCACAGCGTGTGCGGGTGGGGAAAGACACTGGCCGGGGCACTGAGAAGTGTCTCCTGCGAATAGCTGGGGCCGTTACGGATGCCCGGGGCCAGGCAGGGTCCTGGGGACCCACGGGCTCAGGTCTGCCACAGCCACGTGACCACCCAGTTGTGGGCACAATGTCCGGCGGACAGATGGCTGTTCCCCCAAATCCCAGTGTTCTGGAGCGCCCAGGCCCACACTCCCCTGAACTACCTACTCTGAGGCCTTATCCACTGTGCTGAGCCGGCATCTCTTTCTGTTAGAGAAAATGGGTATGTAAATTCACATGCAAATTTTCCCAGTACAAAGGCCTATAAAGAGGCAGGAATAGCTCAGTCATGTTCAGAGATCAAAAGATTAGGGGGGCCTTTGGTCAGTGCTGATTCCCATCACTCAGGTGTCCTTGTGAGGAGAGCTCCTAAGGTTAGTGTGACTGCGTGGGCCCATCTCCATAGTCGGTCATTTTATTCTCTACACCCAGGCAGGTGCACAGGTACACATCTCGAAGTGAGTTTATGAAGAGCAGACACAGGAAGCTACAAAAGGGAAAGAAGAAAAGTCAGGGGTAGCTTCAGCATGGCATGGGGCAGGGGCAACCATTCTCCTACCTACGTGCCAATGTCCCAGAGAAGTTCAGCGAAATCACTATGAAGCCAAGAGCTTTGCTTGACTTGGGACATCCCTGGTCCAACTCATAATAAAGGGTGTTTTTTAGATATGACCGCACATGGAACAGATGATGTTGCCATGGAGCTGATTCTAACCTGAACCCCATTCATGCCTTTATCCACCTCTACGGGCACCTGCAACTATGGAAAGCCACCCCATCAACTATGGAAAGCCACCTCATCAATCAAGACAGTGGTGACAAAAGACAAGAAACCACCATCCCTCGGGGTCAACTGGGTGCTGCTTTTGAGGCTCCACAGGCTCAAGGGATTCTACCAGCCTGCCGTCTCTATCAAAGACCCACTGTGCTCTGAGAACCTGTGGAAATGATCTTCCCAGGGTTGTGCATTCAACTTGAAAAGTTCGGGTGACTCTGGTGGGTAAGGACTTTAGAGAAGGACATTCTGAGCACTGCTCACAGACCATGGTCTTCTGGCATAACCCCCTTTCCTCTTGCATCCTCAGAGACCCCATTGGCTATTGGGGGTAATTGTTGACCTGGTTGAGGTGAATTCCTCCTCAGTAAGGAGGATGTCTCAGTAAGAGGGTAAAAAGTCGGGGTGATGTGAACACTCTGAGCCCATGACCTGCCCTTTCAGGCTGCTGAATTGGCTGAGGTGCCTTGGAGGACCCAGAGACCATGTCTTGACAGCCAAGTAAACACGAAAGGTTCCTTGGTGGTGTCCAGGCCTGAGTCTGCAAGTGCAAGTTCTGACCACAGGAGGGCAGCAGGTCTCCTGTGCCAGGCGTGTCTCTGAGCTTTGCTGGACCATGTGGTCACTGAGAGCCCATTGTGCTGACCCTGCTTCAGAAACATGTTCACTTCCTGTGACAAGCGTCAGTCTGTGCATTGTAGCTGGATAGAGGGAAGAAGATTCAGAGGATTTAGGAGCAAACACTGTCCCTGTGCCAGGGTTCCTGCAGGGCCAGCTGTGTCTGAACATCACCCTCACCAGGCCCTGCCATTCTGGTGCTGTCGGTGTGAAAGGAACATGTTAGAGCTTGAAAGTGAAGGCATGTGTACGACACTAGCTCGTTCCCTTCTGAAAATATAGCATGTGCGGAGAGAGAGGTCTGGCGTTCCCATGGGAGGGTTGCCTGGTGTCCTTGCCAGCCCTTCACAGGGTGGGGTCACAGTGTCAGGGAGAGCAAGACTACTGCAGACTCTCATGGGCAGAACTGAGTTTCTTCAGAGGCAGTTCAGAGTCCTTCAGAGTTCCTTCAGAGTTCCCTCACAGTCTATCACTGTCACTGCAGGGACATATGGGTAGAGTGGAGGGCAGGAGGGAGGAGGGTGGAAGGTGGCACCCACACCTGTGGCCTGAGATACTGTCATCTGTTCCTTACTAACAATACTGCCCTAATACGTGCACCTTAATCTAAGTGAATGTCGCCTAATGTGTGTGAGCCAACTGTCTAGAAAGAGTGGGGCTTGTGTCCACAGCCTCAGGTGTCCCAGGTCAAAGATTTAGTCCCCAATTCAACCCCATGGTTTATGTTGCATTTTGAACAAAGTGCCTGACTTCCTTTCTGTGTGGTGTCCCGGGCACTGCCTGGAAGCTCTCCTGTGTGACCCCTGCACAGGGGAGCTCACAACATCTGTGCTTGTCTCCCTAGTTCAGGAATGTGGGACTATGGCAAAGAAAAAGGCATTTAGTGAGGAAAAGAAGGCAAGAGGGAAGGACTGTGGTGAATTCATATGGATGGGAGATACGTTTTGACATTAAATATAGCCACTGGCTCCTCCCCATGTGACTGTGTCCTGTTGCTCAGTATCCAGGCGCTGACCACAATGTGGTGACCCAGGGATGTGTATGCTTTGGATGGGTACTCCGAGAGCCATCGTGGATTCTGCCCTCATCTGAGGTCAAGACGAAGCACTTCAGTCTCGTTCTCTTTGGAAGAGGAAACATTTCTACACTTTTGCCAATAAATTTCACTATCTCAGTGAACATTAATATCTGAACGAACATTAATTTCAACTCCCTCAGGGAACAGATATTACAACGAGGTAGATGGGAAGTGAAAGTTACAATATGACAAGACTGGACCCCTCTCCTGTTTCACAAGTGCCCCACAACCTATTGCTCCCTTCTGTGTCCAACAGACTATAGGTTTTGAGATATTATCACACATAGAACGGACGATGTCTCCAGGAAGTTAATTTTGTCGGACACCACTGTGAATGCTGGGACACGGGGGTGCTGAGAAGAACAATGAGGATCCCAGGCCCCAGTACCTAAGGAAAGGAAATCTCCATTCAGATGAGACTCCTCATCTTAGGACCATCATTATTTACCCAGGTACCTCGGATGAGGCGTGTTATGGATCAGTGTGTACACTCTGGATTTTTCTTGCTGGGAATAAGGTCAATGGCATGGATTGGTCTTTGTGGAGGTGAGATTGCAGGAATCCAACAGTTAATGGTCCTTGAACAAGTGACCTCACTTCCTGGTGGTGGGCACCACAGAACTTAGAACTCTGTCCACCAGGCAACCACATCCTAGCGACAGCATTTGGCCAGCTCAGTTTACTAGACACAGTCAGCAGAAGAAGATGTTCTGCTGCTGGCCCCTGAAGCTCAGATGCTTCAGCTTCAGGAAAACCCAGAGGGTGAGACTTACTGATGGTTCCCATGGCCAGCTCAGCCCTCCTGGCCGCTCTTTCTGGCCATTTCGCAAGAGGCAAAAAAAGGTAATAGTCTCAGGCTGCCCAGGTGTTGAGAATACACCTGTGATCCCTCCTGAGCATCTCACACGCCTTTTCCCTCATTGTGTGTGTGTGTGTGTGTGTGTGTGTATTTTGGAGGTGTAAACATTTTTTTTTTTTTTTTAAATTTGTGGTTTTTTTTTTTTTTTTTTTTTTTTAGAGGCATGTTTTTTATTTATTTGTTTGTTTGTTTGTTCGTTTTGTTTATACATGCACTGGGTACAGTCAGAAGCGCGGGAGGGTGAGAGAATTCACCAGAGCCAGAGCGGGGAGCAGAGCAGGCAGAAAGACCGAAGTACACTGCTGAGGGGAGCAGCGGGCGGCAGGAGAGGTCTGCGCGCCATGTGGGACCCTCCTTCGGTGGCCGAGGAGCAGCCGGGGATCGAACCAGCGCTTCAGAGGTCGCCGGCAGCTTTGCAACCCAGCGCTCAACCGCTGCGCCACCGGGGAGGCCCTGTAAACATTTTTGAGGGGAGTTTTGGAGGGAAGGCACAGGTTGTGATGGGTGAAAACCTGGTAGGTCAGCCATGTTCCTAACCAGCATATGAGTTGCAGAATGAGAAAGTGACTGTTGGAAACAGACCCATTCCAATGGGTCTGTTCATATTGATTCCTAGAGCTTCTCATGTGTTACTGGCAGGATGTCTGTGTAGCTACTCCTCTGTGTGTGAACTGGGTGAAGTGGTGTCCTATGGGTGTGTCCCCCGTGGCACTTCAGCAGCCCCAGAGACCTCCTCATGTGTCTACCTGGACATGTCTATGATCATCGATCAACTGGCCAAAGTTCACCCGAGTGCCTAGGAAATGGCCAGTTTTCCAAGCACACCAACACTGCCCAGGGCTAGGCTATGTGAGAGCAGAAGCACAGGGGCCTCCCCCCAGAACTCTGGAGTGGCTGGCAGGGTACTAGCATCCACACTCAAATTCTGGCCTATGTGCACCCCCAGGGATTTCCCACATGATAACCCACAGATGAACTACCACAGGAGTCAACATGTCAACTCCTCACCACCAGTGTTACGGTAGGTAGAAATACCTTCTCATATAATTGTTGAGGAACAGAGGAGAAATATGCATGTTGACTTTTCCGTTTGTGAGTATTTTTGTGATTTACCTGGCCATCTCAGTCTTCCTATAGAATATTTGGTTCAATAAGGGAACTTCTCCACACCTTGGCCATCATCACCTTGAATCAGTAGTCCACATATAAAAAGAGTGGAGTGGTTTCTATTGTTTGAGTTTTTCCACATCTTGCCAAATCACAGCACAGGACAGATTGCCGGAGACCTGTGAAGTCAGGAGCTGTGAAGGGCCTTACTCATCTTCAGGATGTTGTACACATTGCACAGGCACAGAGCATTTCCCTGCCGCTGGATCTTGACATGGTTCGACTCTGGTGTCCTTTGAGCAGTGTTGCGGGGGACAGTTATGTGTTCCCCAAGGGACCCCATCAGTGTCTCCTCCACACATGCCATAGCAACAGAGAGGAGGAGGCCACTCTCTGTGGGGAGATGCGTAGATCTATCACTGACGCGCTGCTCCCGGGTGCAACGCTGAGGAGCCCATGGCTGGTTCAATTGCTCCATCTCCCTGGAGAGGGCACAGTGACCTGTCCAATTTGTGAGTGGACAAGTTGTAGGAAAAACTTACACATGATAAATATGCACCCCACATTTTGTATAACTACTGATTAAAGGTGATAATGGGTAAGGCCTGGAGAATTTTCCTTGTTGAACGGAGGTAATGTGAGCCTCGTGGGATGTTCAAACCTTGGAGGCCCAGACAAGAAGAGTGAGGCCAGAGCCCAGACTCAAATATGGCCACTGCCCCAGGCCCTCATGCAATGAGTGTCCTGGAGCCCAGCACTGCATTTCCAGAATGACAGCCCTCAGGCAGCTTGGAGGGAAGGTCATGCTGTGGAGAGTTCCCGGGACTGAACTGCATAAGCAGGACCAACAGGTCAACTCTGACCCCTGTTCCTGATAAGGACTGTGGGAACACAAAACATCCATTACATTTCCAGGTCTCATTTTGTATTCAGATTCCTGGTAAATGAAACTGGTGCATGAGATGCAACCTAACCTACTGTGAATACAAGCTGCAATGCTGTTAGTTTGATCTCTGAATTTCCGCTGGGCTGCCAGCCTGCGCTCATCAGCCTCATTGAGGAAACTAGCACAGTAAATGGATCATTGGAACTTTTGCAATCACACTGTGCAAACGGAGCTAGAACAACAACCTTGCCATATTAAAATGCTCAGCTTTCCAGGAATAGCATATCTCGACAGCTCACACCTTGATTGCGTCCTTAATTTTGAGAAAGACATACTGTTTCCTGCAGCCACACAGAGCACACTCTGCCTCGTCCACCATTTACTTAGTCCACAAGCCTGAAACTGACAATATGCCCTCATGCAAGTGTGCAGGTATTAGTGAAGGTGATAAAGGTGTCTGTGCAAAGTGTGTCCCTTGTGGCACTTGATGGAGACGAGTATAATACATAGAATAACCCAGAGCACTGCTGGGGTAAGAAAATCATGCCCATATTTGCAAAGAAAGTTCAACTCACCGTGGATAGTGAGAAAGGGCTTCCTTGAGGGAGATCTATGAAGAGGAAGCCTTGAAGGGCAGTCGGCACCAGAAGAAAAATGCAGGACTCCGTGGTGGCTCAAGGGGTTCAGTCTCAGCACTATGAAGCCATGGGTGGCCAGTGTAGCACGAGTTCCATCCCCTACCAGGGAGCTGACCCATATGGCCAGCAGAGATCTCCTGTCTTTCCTGCTGCTCCCCTCTGCAGTGTATTTCAGTCGACCCACCTGATTAGCTCCCCACTCTGTCTCTGGTGAATCCGCTCACACCCTCCGCCCCATCCCTCACCTCTGCCTACACCCCAGCTTTGTATCCCAAATAAATAATACAAACCCTCAAAAAGAAGAGAAGAATGAATGTACCTGGAGGAACAGGAGAGCAGAAAAAAGAGACTAACACATCCAAAGGGAGAGATTAACCTGTGCTAAGACTTGGAGAGGCAAGAAACCCAGAATCGTAGGGAACTGAGTTGATAGAGCCAAAGGTTAGCCAACTTATGAAAACAACTCAAGTGCCCAAGGACAGTGGAAAACTCATATAAGTATTCAATCAAAACCAGGTGACAATGTGGCATTTGCAATAACATTAATGAAACTGCGGGCGATTATGGGGAGCAAAAGAAATCATCAGAGGGGAAAAAATGATTTTGTGTAATCTGACTTCTATGAGGATTACAAAGACAGAAATCAAAGGAATGGGGCCTCCCTGGTGGCCCAAGGGGTTAAGACGCAACCGATGAAGCCATCCGCAGCCACTGCAGCACAAGTTATATCCCCGGCCGGCCAGGGAGCAACCCACATGGTGCAGACCTCTCCTGACTCGCTCTCTGCTCCCCTCAGTGGTGTATTTCAGTGAATCTGCCTGTTCTGTTCCCCACTCTGTCTCTGGTGAATCCTCCCACCTCCCCTCCCCACCCCTCTGGCCTGTACCCCAGTTCTTGTATGCATAAATAAGTAAATCTTTAAAAAAAAAAAAATCAAAGGAATGACACAAACCATACCAAACCCTAGAAATCTGACTACCGCAGAACTGAGGCCACCATGGTCGGAGAGGGAATGAGGAACGAAGTGTGGAGAGAGCCGAAAGATTGTGGCAGAGGGTCATGGGGCCTCGGCGGTGGGTAAGGAGGTGGATAACTACAGAGCATGGACCTGTGCCGCCAAAATAAATAAACGGGAGGGTCCCGCTGGAAGAATGATCAACAAGGAGACACAGGCATGGGGACACCTGAGTGACTTGCCCAGGTCCCTTCCCGCCCACATCTTGTGTGTATGCTAGAGCTCAGAATAAGTCAATGCATTCTTCAAGGGCATTTGCATTGTACGCTACATTATAACAGATGCATGATGTTATTCACCGATACCTGTTTTGAAATATCCAAAGTGTGTTGAAATTCTCAGAGCCGGGCAGCTGAAAAGGATCTCTGCTCTCAGTAAGCCTTGGCATGAACCTTCCCCATCAAGTGCTTCTGTCTTGAATCTGTCCACAAAAGTACAGTATTGGCCATGTGTTTTGAGAATTCCCTGTCCTGTGGAAGTTGCCATTGAGCCTCCCCATTCCAAACATCCACTTCTTAAAAGCTATGGGGGTAAACGGAAGCAGGATGAGAAAGTTGGACAACCTGTTGCTTCTCTCCTGTACACAAAACACAGCACACCCCATACTCTCCATGGAGGTGAGGGGGGCAGGTCTCAGTGAAAGGATTCAGGGATGAATGAGGAGGCAGATCAACGGAGGGTCAGGAAGGAGAAAGGAAGAGCAGAAAGGAAGAAGAATGTGGAGCAGGCAGACTGCAGGCCCTACTTGTGTCTGGGCCTGTGCCAGGAACAAAGAGCCTGCCCTTCAACCATATCAGCAGCCATGAGTTCGACCCACGACAGTGATGGGGAGGGAGCTAGGTCACCTCTGATGCACAGGGGTGCAGGGACAGAGGGGCACAGGGCTGCTCAGCTCTCCTCCTGGAAGAAAGGTGGGGTTGGGTCATCACCCAGCTATGCCAAGCCCCAGCTCTCCCAGGCCCCAAATGCAGGAGTCTGCAGGTCCCTAAGACCCCAGATTATTACATGCAGTGTCCTGGGACTCAGCTCCCCAAGCCAAAGCTCCCTGAGTCCCAGCACCCTGAGACCACAGCTCCCTCAGCCCTAGCTCCCACAGCCCCATGCCTGGCCCCGCCTGCACTCAGCTCCCCTGGGCCTTGTGCCTGGCGTCGGTGTCACTGGTGTGGACAGGCCTAGACAGGGAGAGCAGGCGGCAGCCCAGGGGAGTGTGGCTCTTGACAGAGAAGGTAAGAGAGGGAAGAGTCCACAGGCAGTGACATCACGAATGGCTATGAGCCCCTCAAAACTCAGAATCCTGGTCTCCAGGCAGCCGCATTTAGACCCAGACCCCAAGTGGTGGTGGTCTCAATGCCCCGGGAGAGGCAACATGTTCTGCTGCCTGCCCAGGGCCCCTGGGTGCATGCCGGTAAACGATGCCAGTACCTTTAGGAAACATTTCAAGGAAGAAACTGGCCTCACTGGCCATTTGCTGGGAGGACCCCAATGGTAAGAAGGCAGCCAATGGGCAAGTGGCCAGCACGCTGAGGACTCGGGCAGCCCCATCTGTCCTGGAGTGTGTGTGTCTGTGAGTGCGTGTGTGTACCTGTATGTGCTTGCCAGTGTGCAGTCCGGGGAGTGCGGTCATGTGAGTGTGTGTCCTGCTATGCAGAGTCCTACGGCTCACAGTGTGGTGGGTCATTGTCCCACAGGAAGAGGCTGGCGGGAGGGACCCCAGGCCTTTGGGGTCTCCTTCCCCACGTAGATTTCACCCTGCATGTTCTCTTTTCCCAGGGGAGACAATCTACGTGCACACCTAAGGAGGAACGTTGGGGAGACTCCCCAACGTTCCTCCCCAGTAAGAAGGGACCCCGTCACCGTGCAGCACCGGGTAAGAGTGGCAGGTCCTGGGTACCATACCTGGAGCCCCTGGTGGAGGAGAATGAAGGTGAGAGGCGACATGTCCTGGTGTTCTGGGAGGGAGGGTCAGGGCCCACAGGGAGGCTCCCAGCACATCTGGGTTGACCTGGGAACCCAGGTCAACCTGAAGCCACTCTGACCTGGGAAACACACGTGTGGTTCAGGGGCAGACACCGGGGCGATCAGGACTGGGCTGCCCTGAGGGTGCTGGCCTGGACTAGGTCCCGAAGGCCACATGGAAGGGTGTGTGGTGACAGTCATGCACTTCTGTCTCAACTCCCTCTCAAACAGAAGATCTGACCGAGGTTGCCATAGAGGGGAAGCCACCAGGAGGACCAGAGGCAACTTCAGGACGTACGGGGGTTCCTGAGGCCACTCCACCCCGGCTTGGGGAAGGAGAAAACAGCCAGGACCCCAGCAGGATATCTGTTTGTCCTGAGCACACCCCACCCTGGCTGGGGGAGGGAGAACCCAGCCAGAAGCCCTCCGTTATGGCCGAGGGTCCTGAGTCCACCCCACCCTGCGTGGGGGAGGGTGAGCCCTACCCAGACCCTGGCATGACCCCCGCAGGTCCAGAGGCCACCCGAACCCGGCTGGTGGGAGGAGGACCTGGCCACTTCCCCGCCATAAACCCCATGGGTCCAGAGCCCTCCCCACCCTGGTTGAGGGACGGAGAAATCAACCAGGACCCCACTGTGACCCCCACGGCTCTTCAGCCCACCCTAACCTGGCTGGGGAAGGGTGAACACACTCGGGACGTATCCCCATTCATCACTGACTACCCGATAATGCGTTTAGTTTTATTTTTCACTTTTATTTTTATTCTTGCTTGGTGTTTTTTTTGTTTTTAAATACACGTTTTTAATCAATAGTTGTCTTGCTATGCTTGGTTGTAATTGTACTCATTTTGGACTATAAGAAGTTCACAGCGAGATACCGCCCCATGATGCACTTTCTGACCATTTCGCTCACCAATGGAACATTGCACCCCTGCTCTCACTGCCTCTGCCCATCCCCTGCACCCCATCTGTTTACTGTCTCTGTTCCACCCCTCACAAGAGCTGGCTTCGTGGTTAGCAGCCTGGTTCAGAAGAACTGAGTCCTTTGGGGGTGCCCTGTTAGGAAACAGCACATTTTCTGGGAAAGAGAAAGTCCAGGGGGATCGAGAGGAAACATAACAAGGAATCCCTGGCAGCAGTGACATGCACACTTACCTGGCAGAGTGACCGAGGCCTTAAGAGACATCAGATGGACAGTGAGGGCCACACCTCCTCCTCTATGGTCACAGCAAAACCAAGAACGATGGGACCCGTGCAGAGATGAACGCCAGACAGGAATGCGATCCTCACGCCCACGGGCAGTGTCAGAGTTATTTCCCAGGGCACACCGACCTGGAGAAGCCCGTGCTCCCCCAGATTACGAGTGCACACAGGTCACTGCAGGCAACGGCCATCCCCGCACTGAGGCCTCTCTCTCCAGAGGGACCTCGCCAGGGTGGCAGCACGGGGACATTGATAGGCAGGGCCCGTCAGCAGTGATGGGGAGATCTGGGGGCTGAGAACAACAGCCCCGGGGACTAGGGCTTAGCCGAGGCCCAACTGGTCCTTTCAGACCAGCGAGAGGGTCAATCCTGGTGGTAGAGCTGGGCCAGACACTCGGAGTCTCTGGATCCCTCTCCTGGCCAGTGCCCCTGCTAGGAATACAGGGACCAAGAGGCTGCAGTGGGGGTTCCTGAGTCTTGGGGGTGCCCAGTGTGAGCACCTGGGGTGAGGACTGGCCTGAACACCAAACCCCACAGCAGGAGCCTGGCCAATTTCCCCCATTCTTCCTTTGCTGGCCTGTACTCACCTGTTGGGGCCCATGGGCCCCGGGATGTCTCACCCATCCCCGTGAGGACCGAGGATCTTTGTCCAGGAGCTCTACTGAGGGATGAAATCAGGCGGATTCTGCGTGGAGGGTCAACCTGAAGGGCGCATGGAGGCTGGATGGCCACCTGTCATCAGGCAACCTGTCCCCTTTGGGGACAGGACACCTCCCATTCTGTGCTCGTGTTTGGGTAGCCCCTGAGCCTAAGAAGGAATGATGCTCCCCAGGGCCCCCGGGGACTGGTGCCCTGAGGTGAGTCAGGACCCATCCAGTCACCTAGTCAGTGGACAGCAGCCCCTCCTCCAGGGTATGTAGCATATGACCTCCCCCCTAAAGCAGTGGCCAGAGGGCTATGAAGGCTGTGGAACAAGTGGGCGAGGACAGAAGCTTCCAGGGAACTGGTCGTGCCTGGGACAGGTTTGAGCCAGAGCCCCAGCCACACGCGGACCTAATGGTATGCAGGGGCTTTACAGAAAGGGCGTGTGCGGCTCCTCGGCGCCAGTGCACCAGCAGGTGGGACTCAGGGCACGGGAGCAATGGCAGGAGCAGCCCCCGAGTGGGGAGACTGCCCTCTCACACCCGGCCAACCTCTCGCTCTCCTTGTGGGCAAGGCATTGCTGTGGTGCCACGGAACCCTCCACTCCTCTCGCCCTCAGTGTCCTCCCTCTCGTGACCCTTCCAGGGTCTAGACATGTTCTGACCTAATCCTCTGTCTAGAGAATGGTCAGGAGAGCGGGGCTGGCACCTGGCCACTCCTTGAGCCTCAACAGACACAGATGCTGTTTCTTCCAAGTTGTCTTCTCACTTTGGACCTGTGTGTGCAGTCACACGCCTGAGTGTGGCGTGATGTTCACAGTGGGGCTGAAAGGATCACAGTGTGATCCTTTCAAAAGAAAGTGGTGTTCCTTGCATCCCGAGAATTTCAAGGGCCTTGATCATAAATGGGTGTTGTACTTTGTTGAAAGCTTTCTCGGCATCTAGGGATATTATCATAAGGTTTTCATATTTCTTTTTGTTGATGTGTTGGATTACATTGATTGATTTTCGGATGTTGAATCATCCTGTGTCCCTGGAAGAAATCCTACTTGGTTGTGTGAATTACCTTATGGATACATTGTTGGATTCTGTTAGCGAAAATTTTATTGAGGATTTTTGCATCAGTGTTCCTTAGAGAGATTGGCCTGTAGTTTTCTTTATTTGTGTTGTCCTTGTTTGTTTTGGTATTAGTGTCATGTTGGCTTCATAGAATGTGTTTGGTATTACCCCTTCCTTCTCAATTTTGTGAAGGAGTTTATGAAGGGTAGGAACTAGTTCGTTTCTGAATGTTTGGTAGAATTCATTTGTAAATCCATCTGGTCCTGGGCTTTGTTTCTGGGGAAGGTTTTGATTACCATTTCAATTTCACTGCTTGTAATTGGTCTGTTTAGGTGTTCTATTTCTTCTTTATCTAGCTTTGGGTGTTTGTAGAGTTGTAGGAATTTGTCCATCTCTTCTAGATTGTTGAACTTGTTTGCATATAACTGTTCACAGTCGTTTCTGATTAATCTCCCTTTTTCCCTTTGTGAGCCTGGCTAGGGGTTTCCTATTTTATTTATTTTTTTGAAGAACCAACTTTTGGTTTCATTAATCTTTTGGATTTTTTTTTTTTTAGTTTCTATTTCATTTATTCCTGCTTTGATTTTTATCATTTCCTTTCTTCTACTTGTTTTAGGATTTTTTTGTTGTTCTTTTTCCAGTTATTTGACATGTGTGGTTAGATTGTTTCTTTGAGTTCTTTCTTCTTTCTGGATGTGAGCCTGTATGGCTATATATTTTCCTCTTATTACTGCTTTTGCTGCATCCCACACATTTAGGAAATTTGTGTCCTCCTTGTCATTCAACTCAAAGTATTTTTTAATTTCTTCTTTTATCTCCTCATTAGTCCAGTGGTCTTCCAGTAGTTTGGGTTTCAATCTCCATGAGGTAGGAGACTTTCTTGCCTTCTTTTATGGTTTATTTCAAGTTTGATGCCTTCTTGGTCATAGAAGATGTTTGGTAAGATTTCAATTTTGGTGTATTTGTTGATGTTTGTCTTGTGTCCCAGTATGTGATCGATCTTAGAGAATGATCCTTGTGCACTTGAAAAAAATGTGTACTCAGATTTTTGGGGGGTTTCGTATTCTACAGATGTCTGTTAAGCCCATGAGATCTAGATCCTTATTTAGAGCTCTAGTGTCCTTACTTATTTTTTGTCTCGTTGATCTATCCTTGTTGATAGTTGTGTGTTCAATCTCCTACTACAGATGTGTTTTCTCTGATGTCTGTTTGCAGAGATGCTAATAGTTGTCTGATATATTTTGGTGCTCCTTCATTTGGTGAGTATATGTTAATGAGGTTTATTTCTTTTTGAAGTATTGTCCCCTTGATACAAGGAAGATACCTCAATAGCAAAAAGGCCATATATGGCTAGCCCATAGCCAATATCATTCTCAGTGGTGAAAAGATAATGCATTTCCATTAAGATCTGGAACAAGCCAAGGATGTGCACTCTCACCACTGCTTTTCAATATAATACTGGGAATCCTAGCCAGTGCAATAAGACAAGAGAAAGACATGCAAGGAACACAAAGAGGAAAGGAAGAAGTTGAACTATCACTATTTGCAGATGATATAATAATATACATAGAAAACCCCAAAAACTCCACAGAAAGACTAATCAAACTAATCAATCAGTTCAGTAAAGTAGCAGGATACAAAATCAAAGCACAAAAATCAGTAGCCTTCCTATACACAAACAATAAATCTGAAGAAGAAGAAATCAAGAAAACCATCCCTTTTATTATTGAAACAAAAAAAATAAAAAATATGGAATAAACCTAACACAAGCGGTAAAGTACCTAAATAAGAAAACTAAAAAATATGTTAAAAGAAATAGAAGAAGACACAAAGAAATTGAAACACATTTCCCTGCTCACTGATTGGAAGAATTAACATTATCAACATGGCCATCCTACCAAAAGCAATTTACAGATTCAATGCTATTCCAATAAAAATTTCAATGATGTTCTTCAAAGAAATATAACAAATATTGATGAAATTCATATGAAGCCACCAAAAACTCCAAATAGTTAAAGCTCTTCTGGAAAAAGAAAAAGGGAATGGCGATATCACACTTCCAGACTTCAAACTGTACTACAAAGCCATAATAATCAAAACTGCATGGTATTGGAACAAGAAGAGATGCACAGACCAATGGAAATGAATAGAAAATCCAGAAATAAACCCACAGATTTACGGTTAACTAATCTTTGACAAAGGAGCAAAGAATATGCAATGAACCAAAGAAAGGTTGTTTAATAAATGGTGCTGGGAAAACTTGGTCGCTACATGCAAAGATTGAAGCTTGACTACTACCTCACACCATGCACAAAAACCAACTCAAAATGGACACACTATGGGGGGAGGGCTTGGGAGGGAGGTGGGATTAGGGTCAAAATATGGGGGGTGGGAATTGTATGGAAACTATAACCACGATGAAAATGCATACATTGTGCAAAATGAAAAATGATGTAAAAAATATATAAAATGAAAAAATAAAATGGTGGCAATTTTTTGCCTACAGGCTCCTAACACAACACTTGGGAATAGGAAACCTGCATCTCCTCGGCCTGCCTTGTCTGGCATACAATGTTAAGCGTAAGAAGTGATTCAACCCAACACTTCTGAATGGCTTGGAGAACTCTGATTGCTGCAAAGGCAGGGAACACAGGGAAATGGGTGGATACCCACCCGGGGTGATTGACACAGCCTGATGCTGGTCCCAGGTGACTTTCTGTCACAAGCTGGCCTAGAAGAATCCATAGCCAGCAAAAGCATTCAGCACGAGCCCCAGGCTGGCTCCAGATAGTCTTGTGCCAAAGACAGACAGCAAAACAGCCCTTCAAAGAATCGCATCTTGGGTGATAAGGTCTTGGAGCAAAGGGTCTCCCTAACAAATGATACAGAGCAGCAAAAGCAGGGTGCCAGAGCAAGGGATCACTGTTGGGAACAGTGGGATGAGGAGCTGGTGAAAACAATTGCAAAGTTATTATTGGAAGAGTCTCAGCATCTGCTTTAGAGTAGCCGCCTCAGGCCCGGCATGGGTAGCAGGAATGGTTTGGAAGCCATGTGGGTTGGAAGCCTGGAATAAATTACTAGAATAATTATGCTATTACAGCTTTTTGAATTACTAGTACACTGGTCTCCAAAAGTAAATATAACTCGGTACTCTTTTTATGTTCCTGCATTTCAATACGTAACACAGGAAAAGTAGACATGAATGTAATGTTGTTGTTTTTTTAATTTTACACTAAAATTCTGCAATTCCTCTTTGGTATTCTTTTGAAAGGAAATGACCCATGTCTAGATTGTGAAAGCCAAGCTGAAAACTGCCATTTACCAAAAAAACACATTTTCAGTAATGGCATAGAATCAAGCAGTACTTCATTTGTCCTTCAAACTTAACACAAGTGTCCAACAACTATGTAGAGCAAGAGCAAGCAAAACAATGAAATTGATTTCAAACAGGCATGCCTTTGATTTTTCTCATCAAACAGGAACAAAAAAAAATCTTTATAATATGAAATAAGATTTGCAAAGAATCTTGTATCCCCATTTGATATACAAATGAGTGAGTGTGTTCATAAGCTGTGTGTCTTCTCACTAACATCCCAGCAGATGAGTTATATAAATGAGTGTGTTTTCTAAACAGAGTGCGCCTGAAATTGCATCTGTAGAGTCAAACGTACACAATTGAATACAATGGCATAATTATCCACCCACCAAAATGACAACCTCTTAGGCTCAACCTCATAGATTATCATAATATCATAGAATCTCAGGGACAAAAACGGTCTAGCGAAATCCTGACCTGGTTTCTTAAAATCATTTACTATACAACATTGGTCACCTGGTATCTGCTGCTACAATATTC